CCGTGCACACTCGGTGAGGGAGGCTCCAGCTCAATTACCTGTGTAGTCATCAAAGTTGACCCTTCCTCTCATGGTATTAACAACAGATTCTGGCTGCTCAAATATTTCCTTCTGCATGAACGAGCTGAAGTTACCTATGAAGAAAGACAGAAAACAAATTAGAACACTTTACCTCCTGGTAACTCGAATTTTAAATTACTTCCTGCTAGTTGCCATTTTCCCTGTGTACGTAGAGAAAAGCTTGGACCAGCCAAAGATTATTAAACTGATTTTCTGCCAAAACACCAGCTCATGGTGAGAGCTTGATTCCAGCTTCTGGAGGTGTCAGTGAAGGGCAGATCCAAACTGGCAACTTGGTGAGGGATCAGTCTGGGTTAAAAACCAGAAGGCTCCAAGCAGGAAGCAAAACCCTCATCCCCACAGCTCTAGACTAGGGGGGAAGTCCCATGACATGTGAGGATTTTTTCCCCAGCACCAGACCAGGCTGTGGCACCTCAGTCCTTGGAGATGCTCCAGGATTCTGTCCCCGCTCGGGGCAGGGGTGGCACAGGGTGACTGCAGCCCCAAGCTGAGAGTTTTGCATCCATAAAGGTCTGCAGCCCCAACCTGAGGATTTTTAGAGGGGAAATCCCATAACATGTGAGGACTTTTTTCCCCATGAGGATGCTCCAGCAGCAGACCAGGCTGTGGCACCTCCAGAGATGCTGCAGGCTCCCGTCCCCGCTCGGGGCAGGGGTGGCACAGGGTGACTGCAGCCCCAAGCTGAGGATTTTACCTTCAAGCTGGAGGCAAAATCCTCATCCCCACAGCTCTAGACTAGAGGGGAAGTCCCATGACATGTGAGGATTTTTTCCCCAGCACCACACCAGGCTGTGGCACCTCCAGAGATGCCCCAGAGCGGAGCAGAGCCTGTCCCCGCTCGGGGCAGGGGTGGCACAGGGTGACAGCAGCCCCAATCAGGCAGTCAGGCAGGGAGCAGCGCTCACCCTTCATGATCTGCTGCAGCTCCATCTGCAGGGTCTGCACGGCCCGGCCCGGGTGGTCGCCGGCCGTGCGCTTGACGCGGTGGATGGACAGACGGCCGTCCACCACGGCCGCCACGTCGTCGTCCTCCAGGAAGATGACGCGGTTGGTGTGCTCGATGACAGCGCTGTGGGGACACGGGGACGCCACAGCCGGGCTCAGCACATCCCTCTGGGGCTGCCCAAACCCTGCCAGCGGCTCACAGAGCCTGGCACACAGCCCAGGACACCTCTGGCTTTGATTTTAACCCATGGTAAAAATTACCAACCTTACGGGAAGAATTACAACCACGACAGCTTAAGTAGAATGACAGTGAATTTATCACAGGGTGAAAAATAGAGTTTGGGGGGTTTTTAGAATGGGGGTTCAGGGGGCAAGATGGAGGAATCTGGGCATGTCCAGCCTTTCTCCTTCTTGTTCTTGGCCTCCATCTCCTGCTGTGATGTTGGTACTTTTAGATTGGTTTGGAGTAGAAGCTCACTGTCTGACACAGGTGATGGGTATTGGCAAGTAATTGTAAATATTGTACATGTAGTTTTTAGTATAAAAAGATAACACTGCCCCAGGGGCAGGCAGAGTGCCTCTGTTTGTCCTGCTGAATGGACCTTGGCTGGACAGGAGAAAGAATTTTATAGATAAATTATACTATACTATTCAGATATATAATATATATCTATATATATACTAATATATATATATATAAGTACTATACTATACTAATATATAATATACTATATTATATAGTATACAATATATACTCTATTATATTATACTATTAAGATATTATACTATATTACATAGTATATATAATATGCTATATTATACTGTACTATTAAGATACCTATTATACTATATTGTATATATACTCTATTTTACTATACTATTAAGATATCTATTATACTATATTATATAGTATATAATATATACTCTATTATACTATACTATTAAGATATATAACATTTATACTATATTATAATAGTATATTGATGATGGTGCAGGGATCCCTGGAGAATCAATGCAATTCTCCTCATAATTAGCACCTGGCCTGCTAATTTAGGTCAGGACTCCCTCAGGTTTCCTATCACTGGGAAATCTTAATCCCAAATGAGCCTCAAGAATGGTAACGCTCTATTCCAAGGCCAGCGCTCATTATTTTAACAGCAGCTCTGTTTTGGTTAGTATTTGTAAAGTAATTTGTAAAGTAATTCACACAGAAAACCCCATCCCTTGCTCCTTTAAACAGGACATTCCCACCCACGCCAGGGGTGCAGGAAAACCCTACCTGGCATCAGAAGCAAAGTAATACTCCACAGCTTTCTCCTCCACGGGGAAGAGGCAGGTGGTGCTGTCCACTCGGGACAGGTTGCAGCTCCCCTTCTTGTCCTTCCCTAGGAGACAGCAGGCTCAGGGGCTGCCCAGGTGACAGCCCCGGGCACAGGTGGCACCAGCAGAGCCCCCGAAGCACGGTACCAACATGAAGCACCATTTTCATGCCTGCACAGCAAAAGGGGCCGCAGCACTTGTGCCCATCCTCAGCTGGCTTGCAAGAGTTTGACTGCTTTTTAGTAAGTCTGTTAGCAAGTGTGTTACTAGTGTGGCTGAAATGTAGAGGAAATTATCAGGAGAAAATCCAAATTAATGTTTTGTGTGGCTCCACGGGCAGAGAATTCAAGGTGCTTTATGAGCAGCCACATTTCCCCATTAAACCTGCCCTGTTATCATTTTAAGTTTCCTCTCTGGAATGGAGCAGCACTGCTCCTTCTCTCTCTGTTACCCTCAGCACTGGGGGAACTCTTTGTGTGCCCACCCTGAGCACCACAGGTGGAACCCAAACCTATTTCTGCCTGCCTGAGCTCAGTGTGAGACCCAGCTCAGGAAATGCAGGATGAGGAGCTCGGCCTTGTTCCTGCACCAGCAAACACAGGCACCTCAGCTGCTCAGGAAACCAGCCCTGTGCTCCTCAGGGCACACAGGACTGAGAGCCAGCGTGTGTGTGCCCAAAGTTCAGCCTTTCACCAGGGATCCTTCCTGGAGCACTCTGGAAATTCCCAACGCTGTCTCCTCCTCCTCCTCCTCCTCACTGCTGCTCGGTGCTGAAGCTCATCAGGGATGCAGATGAGGCACCCAACACCTACTGCTCAGCACCAGCCTCCAGCAGAATTATTTGCCAGTCATCGTGCAGGGTATGGGAGGGAGGGGGTGGATTAATCAGCTTATCTCCCAAAATGGGACCATTGCTGAGAGCAGCACCACTGGAGTTCCTCCATTCTATATTTATTGCACAACCCTGGTGCTGTTTCACCTACCAGACACTGATCTGATTCAGTGACGCAAGCAGAGCTCGTGGTGCTCTGGTTTCCACTTCTGCAGGTGAAAATGTGAGGGAAAAATACTGCTTTCATGTTGCTACTCAGTGAGGAAGAACCATTCAGAGCCTCCCAGCTCAGTTATCAAGTCAGTAAACGAGGAGAAGAGCGCCTTTGCTGCTGAGCTGAGGCAGGACAGGCTGATTTGGCGCTGAGAAGGGACAGAGCAGAGCTGCCAGTGGCCACTCCCCACCAGAAACACCCAGAGCTGATCAGAACATGCAAATTTGGGTTCTCAAAATAGAGCATTTCCTGCAATGCCTTCCTTATGTGGCACTGCTTTCCTGCATGAGGGATTCTGCAGGTGCAGGCACAGAAAAGGCTCTCGTGCCTCAGATGTGAGCTGGGCTGGCCCTAAAGCCCTTCAGGACAGTGACACATGGTTCCCCTGATGGAAAAATGCACAGGGGAAGGCAGGCCCAGCTCAGGCCCAGCTCAGACTCTCCCCATGCCCAGGGGCAGGACAGGGCTCTGACCACCCAAACCCCACCAGGAATTCTGGGCAGTGCTTGCAGCAGCCTCCTGCTTCAGTGGGGTTTGTTTTTAAGGTAATTCACTGTTTCCTTCTGCAGCCAGAGCTGCAGGAACACTCAGGACAAGCTGCCCTGTCATCAGTTTTTGCACATATGCTGAGCATTATGTCCCAGTGCTGGAAGTGGGATGGGTGGATTTTTCTGCGTGCTGCTCGTGGTGTTTCTGATCAAGAAGGAATTTTGATTTTCCCACATGTTTCACTGCATGGAAAGCAACAGCCACATATTAAAAAGACAATGCATATTTATGATTCCTTTCCTAAGGAGCTGGAGGATTTGTCTGAAATTTCAAGTGTTAGCTTTTTTTATCTGGTGGGCACCTTCCTCCATTTTTATGGATATTCCATCAAAAGAATGATCCATAGATTGTACAGCTGGAAGTGCAATTGGGAAAAAAAAAACAACAAACAAACCAAATTTGAGCTATTCAATAAAAAACCACAGTGTTACACAAATACATGAATGTTACTGCTAATCAGCCAAAAGGCAGAGCTGCTGGCACTGGCTCTTGCAGCAGGACAGGAGCAGGTCCTGGGGATGTGCTCTGTGGATTGGGGTTAGGGTTGGGGTTCAGGGTTAGGGTTGGGGTTTAGGGTTCAGCTTTCCCCACTCACCTGAACAGTACAGGATGGGATGTGCTCTGTGGATTGGGGTTAGGGTTAGGGTTAGGGTCAGGTTTAGGGTCAGGTTTGGGGCTGCCCCCACTCACCTGTCCTGTAGAGGATGGGGATGTGGGTTAGGATTAGGGTTAGGGTTGGGGTTTAGGGTCAGGTTTAGGGTCAGGTTTGGGGCTGTCCCCACTCACCTGTCCTGTAGAGGATGGGGATGTGGTCTGTGGACAGCTTGTGCTCGCTGCGCACGCCGATGAGCAGGGGGCTGCCTCTCCTGCAGGGACACAGGGACAGCTCAGCCCTGGGGACACCCCCACGGCCCCCCCCAGGCCTTGTGCCCCCCTCAGCTGCAGGGGGGCACAGCCAGAGCCCCCAGAGCAGCTGCTGCAAACACTGAACCCATCCCAGGATGAAGAACACGAGGATGGGAGGAACCGGGATCAGGGATGGAGAAACTCCCCAGAGTCAGTGCAGCCCTGAGGAGGGACCACCCCTCACTGCACCCCTAAACAGGGACTGCCCTCACTGCACCCCTAAACAGGGACTGCCCTCACTGCACCCCCAAACAGGGACCACCCCTCACTGCACCCCTAAACAGGGACTGCCCTCACTGCACCCCTAAACAGGGACTGCCCTCACTGCACCCCCAAACAGGGACTGCCCCCACTGCACCCCTAAACAGGGACTGCCCTCACTGCACCCCTAAACAGGGACTGCCCTCACTGCACCCCCAAACAGGGACTGCCCTCACTGCACCCCCAAACAGGGACTGCCCTCACTGCACCCCTAAACAGGGACTGCCCTCACTGCACCCCCGAGCAGGGACTGCCCTCACTGCACCCCTAAACAGGGACCACCCCTCACTGCACCCCCAAACAGGGACTGCCCTCACTGCACCCCCGAGCAGGGACTGCCCTCACTGCACCCCCGAGCAGGGACTGCCCTCACTGCACCCCTAAACAGGGACTGCCCTCACTGCACCCCTGAGCAGGGACTGCCCTCACTGCACACACCACACACAGCTTTTGGCACTGCTGTTGAAAAGTGGGACAGAACCCCTGCACACGAGGCTGGCCCACGTTCCAGGCCAAGAGGAGGAATTGTCCAAGTGCTGCCACAGGGGCAAGCACGAAGGAAAAGGTAAAACCATCTCCTTTCAGATCATCCCCAGAGGATACCTGCTCCAGAGCAGGTGTGCTACAGCTGGTCACTAAGACATTTCCAAAACATTTCTGGGAGCTTTCTGTTATTGCAGATGGAAAACAAGAGAAAGGAAATGAAAAACAACAACCACCCTCTCTCAGCACATACAGTGTGATGAGAATGATCTCCACTCTAACTTGGGGGCACAGAAACAAGCACCAGGCAGGGGGCAAGCATGTTCCTTCCCATGGCACACTCACCTGGTACCAACTGCCTGCCCAGGGTAATGAACACTCTTGAACACAAGGGCAAAAGCCCCTTCCTGCAACAAGAAAAACAAATTTCAGCTGAGGTTTCAGTGTTCCCAGCACAGAAACTGCAACAGAACTGAGGTGCCACAGCCCCCCAGCAACAGGAGCTCCTGGCAGGTAACCCAGGGGGTTAAATGTGCTGGGTCCTGCTCCTGCACACAGGCAGGGAGGGAGGCAGGGCAGCTCCCAGCAGGGGTCAGCAGCA